CAAAGTGGATGATGCAGGGGATAGCATGAAGTTGATTGGGTAGGGAAGGAAAGGTGGGTCTTTGAGAAGTGAATATGATAAAAATACATGGTACAAAATACATGGTTTCAAATAACCAACAGAAATGGAAAAAACGCTGTTTTTCATCCTTTTGACACACTTTCGATTAGTGTTATTAGTTGAAGCAGTCTCTTCAAAATTGACCTATTCACCGGGTGGTGGTGACGCATGCCTTTAATCCCAGCACTTGGGAAGCAGAGACAGGTGGATCTCTGTGAGTTCGAGGCCAGCCTGGACTACAGAGTGAGTTTCAGGACAGACTCCAAAGCTACACAGAGAAACCCTGTCCCCCCACCCCACCCCCCCAAAAATCGACCTATTCTTGTTTTTTAAAAGTCATTTAAGTTTGCATAAAATATTAAAACATATTTTAATAAACCAAGTCTTCTAGTTCTCATATAATTCTGCTTCACTGTCTATAGATACTGTTTCCTGATGCTTGTTCTAATGGAGAATGACATTTTGTTTAAAAAATGCGAATGAGGGCAGGGGTGAAGTGAAATGCTTGCCACATGCTAGGTTTTATCACTAGTACACAAACAAAAATTGTAAGATAAAGATGTGGAAGAAGAGAGGAAAAGGGGCAGGAGGGGTGAAATCCTTCTTGGTTTTGGAAATGCAGTCACTTCTTTCTTTTTCTTTTAATATCAAATTATTTCTAATTCGACAAGGATGGTCTGAAGTGCACCAGTACATGGGGGAGCCATCTTCATCTCCACTGTGCACTGCCAGCCGCGTGACCACACTGCGTGCTTTGCCTTGACCCTGTGCTGTCATCCCGCACACCTAGCTCACTGCCCTAGCCCCTGAGCCAGCTCCTGGGCTGCACTCTTCAGGGGCCTGTTCCAGTTGTCAGCTTAGATTTTAGCTTCTGGTGTTTGTACTCAGTGATCTTCTCTTTCACTTCCCTGCTTCTCCAACTGGACTGATCACGTGAAAGTAGAGATGGTGTGCCATTTTGTTTCTTAGACCTTTTATATCCCATACTGTGGTAGTTTGAATGAAAATGGCCCCATAGACTCACAGGGAGTGGTACTATTAGAAGGTGTGGTCTTGGTGGAATAGGTGTGCTGTTGTTGAAGGAAGTGTGTTACTGGGGGCAGGATTCAAAGTCTCAGATGCTCAAGCCAGGCCCAATGGCACATAGTCTCTTCTTGCTGCCTGTGGATCCAGATATAGAACCCTTAGCTCCTTCTCCAGCACCATGTCTACCTGCATGCCACCATGCTTCCTGCCTTGACAATGATGGACTAAACCTTTGAATCCATAAACAAGCTTCAATTAAATGTTTTTCCTTTATAAGAGTTGCCATGGTCTCTTCAGAGCAGTAAAACCCTAACTAAGACAGAAGTTGGTGCCGGGGACTGAGGTATTGTTGTGATAAGCCTGACCATGCTTTTGTTTGGACGAATGTGAATTTTGTGACTTTGGATTAGAAAAGCAATTGAATGCTTAAGTGGGTCTCAGTGGACCTTCCTAGTAGAAGCATAGAAGACAGTGATGCTGAGGGTGATTTGAATTGGGGTCTGGATCAAGAGGTTTCAGAGAAGAATATTAGTGTGTGACCTAGAGACTGGTCTTGTGATATTTTGGTGAAGAATGTGGCTGTTTTTTGCCCTTGTCTGAAATGTCTACTGAGGCTAAATTGAAGAGTTTTGGATTAATGGCATTGGTAGAGGAGATTTCAAAACAGCCTAGTACTGGCTCTGTCATGTGGTTATTAGTGTTAACTCTAATGAAGATTTATAATGAAAAGGAACAAGCTGAGCAAAGAAAAATACAAAATGTACAGTTCAAGGAGTAAAGGGATACAAGGAAGTGGAAAGGAGCTAAATCTTGTATTCAAGGAGATAAACGAATTAAAGAAAAGCCTGATGTTAGATGGAATAAAGGGAGTGGTGACCTCATGGCAAGACCCCACCCAGCTAAGCTTCTAATCTGTGAAAAGAATTAAAGAAAAGTTTGCAGCCAGGTGTTGGTGGTACACACCTTTAATCCTAGAATTCGAAGGCAGATCTCTGAGCTTGAGGCCAGCCTGGTCTAGAGATTGAGTTTCAAGACAGCCAAGCTTAAACAGTGAAGGAAACCATCAAAAACAGAAAACTGGTGAAGACGTAATTGAATGAGGGGGACCATGTTCCAGCCCCAGTAAACAGCAGCACTTGGCTGTTTCAGCCACATGGCTCTCGCTTTAGCATTAAGGGCAGAAGAAAGGGTCTATGGAAAAGCACTCGTGCCAGGGTTGTGGCAGGGTGTCCCTGAATGGAGGCCTAGAGAGGCCATTGTGTGAAGCTGTGAGAGTGAAGCCTGGATTGCCTTGGAGACCCCAAAATGTTGGAGATACCAGAGCCATGGGATAACTGCTGAGGAGAACTGCTAACAGGGAGTGGAACCAGCCCAAGAGGGAAATGTCTGTTGCAGTCAACAAAACTGAAAGAAATTGGAGATCTGAAGAGCGCTCTGACATCAGGCATGGAGATGCAGAGCTTGGAGTTTACCCAGCTGGTTTTCAGTCTTGCTTTGGTCCAGCATTTCCTCTTTATGCTCACTTTTGAAATGGTAATAGATGTCTTGTGCCATTATTTGTTGGAAGTATATGATCTGTTTTTTGCTTTTGATTTGACAGGGGATCACAGTTAAGAGATTGCATGAATCTCAGAAGAGACTTTGAACTTTGGATTTTTGAACATTGTTGAGACTGTGATAGACTATGGGGACTTTTGAAGTTGGAGTAAATGCTTTTGGAAATTATTGAGGTCCTGCCTCTTAGTTTCCTTCCCAGGGGCCCAGAAGAGACACTACTAATGGCAGGAATAATCTGCGGGAAAATAATCTAAGTACACCAGGTTCTTTCATCCATCTACTTTATTCATCTGAGATTAAATTCTATCTGCACAGCTTCAATTCTGTTCTCATACTTAGCTCCTCTCTGTCCCTTCTCCTCCTGTCCTCTAATAACTTTTAACTCTTCCGTCCCATCCTCATCTTCATCCTTGTTCTTCTCCATCTTGCTTCCTTCCCCTTCCTCCTCCCGAACCAGTCTGAGTCCTACCAGCAGCCTGACTCTTACCAACCAAAAGCAAAGCTTCCAGGGTCCATACCAGAGCCATGATAGCCAGCTTCATTTGCAACCCAAAAGAGGAGTGAATAGAGGAGGTGGAGTCAGATTAGGCCCGGAATAAGTCAGAAAGGGAATTTATGTGCTCAAAATATATTCTTATAAGTGGTTAGGTGAAATGTTACAAGTCTATCATAAATGTGCTCAAACTACAGCCTTACAGGTGGTTAGGTAAAGGAGTCTATAAGTCACTAAAATAAAACTGCCTCTATTTTCCTACGCTGCCATATCCTGACAGCATGGGGCAACTCTGCTTGGCTACACTGCATCTGGTATGCAAAGAGCCCTTTTGTTCTGAGTAAATTGCTCTGGAATGCCATTTGGGCTGTGAGAGAAAGGAGGGTCTGAGCTTCATTAGCACAAGAAACAAAACTGTGCACCTTGCCGGGCGGTGGTGGCGCACGCCTTTAATCCCAGCACTCGGGAGGCAGAGCCAGGCGGATCTCTGTGAGTTCGAGGCCAGCCTGGGCTACCAAGTGAGTTCCAGGAAAGGCGCAAAGCTACACAGAGAAACCCTGTCTCGAAAAACCAAAAAAAAAAAAAAAAAAAAAAAAAAAAAAAAAAAAAAAAAAAAAACTGTGCACCTTGTTTCCAAGGTGGTGTCTCCCTTAATTCAGGAGACTTTGCCATTTTGACCTAGGGTGCCTGGCAAAATACACTGTTAAAAGTTCTTGGGGAAGTTGTGAGCACACATGAAATTCATAGCAGAAGACAGCTGATATATTAATAAAGCTTTTTACACTAAATACTCCTTGAGATTTGGGTTCCTCCAGAAGAATGCCTTGATTTTTCCGGGTATAGCTTTAACATATTCAGCTGAATTCTTACTACATTCCTGCAGCTTGTAACAAAATGCATTTTGCATTATGATATAGCCATAAGCCTATGGGGGCCCAGGAGTGGAATATGAGATTTTATTGAAAATGGCCCCATAACATCACAGAGTGGCACTTTTAGGAGGTGTGACCTTGCTGGAGTAGGTGTGGCTTTGTTGGAGGATGTGTGTCACTGGAGTCAGGCTTTGAGGTCTCAGATGCTCAAACCAGTCCAGTGTCTCCTAGTCTCTGGCCAGTGTCTCAGTCTCTTCTTGCTGCCTGTGGATCCAGATGTAGAACTCTCGGCTCCTTCATTAGCACCATGTCTGCCTGCGTGTTACCATGCTCCCTGCCATGATGAAAATGGACTAAACCTCTGAAATTGTAGGCAAGCCCCAACTAGATGTTTTCCTTTGTAAGAGTTGCCTTGGACATGGTGTTTCTTCATAACAATAGAAACCCTAAATAAGACACATTCTATCGCACTCATGTTTATTGATTGACTAGATTGTAAATGTTTTCTTAGAAAATTTATGGTGTGTGTGTGGGGGGGGGGGGGGGTTATATACTCCATTGCTTGTGCATGGAGGCTACAGGAGGACATCAGGTGTCCTGCTCTGTCATTACCCACCTTATTCCCTTGAAACAGTATCTCTTACAGAACCTGCAGCCAGTAAGCCCAGGTAATTCTCCTGTGTCTGTCCCACCAGCTATGGAGTTCCAGGTCCATGTACAGCCATGCTTGGCTTTTTCTTTTTCTTTCTTTTTTTCCTGGGTGCTGGAGACTTGATCTTAGTTCCTCGTGTTTGCACAGTAAGCACTCTCTCCCACTGAGCCATCTCTCCGGCCCTGTGACTGCATATATTCTTAACCACAGTAATCAAGTCAACCAGAAAAATCATATAAAGGAAAGAATTAACAAACTAGTAAGTAAGTTAGAGCTAAGACAGGCAATCCCAGAGGCAAGGAAGTGGGTCAGTGGTGAATCCTGCCTTTCCTCTCACTAGGTGCTGTGGTTGATATAGATGAGAGCACTGCTTTTTCATGGCCTGTGTGTGACCGGTGTGGCAATGGGAGATTGGAACAGAAGCCAGAAGATGGGTAAGGCTGCCTGAAACCCCTGGGGCCCAAAAAACACTGCAGTATCCTTGCCCCAGGATCCTGCGACCTTCTGTCCTGTATGTGGGTTCCGTAAGCATAGAAGGGAACCCACTCTGCTGAGCTTCCGGATAGAGGCTGTGGTGCTTCTTTGTGGGTTTTCCTAATGGAGAATCCTGTTTTTACAGCTCTTCCTGTCCTTAAAAGTGTAGAACTGAGCTTTGTACTTAGCTCCTTCATTATTAGGAGAAGAAAGAATAAGTACAAATGTGAACAGGTAGGACACGCTGCATGGCATGTCTAGGACCCCTGCACTTTCCCAGGAGACAGTGAGCAGCTGCATGGCATGTCTAGGACTCCTGCAGACTTTCCTGGGGACAGTGAGCAGCTGCATGGCATGTCTAGGACTCCTGCAGACTTTCCTGGGGACAGTGAACAGCTGCATGGCATGTCCAAGACTCCTGCAGACTTTCCCAGGAGACAGTGAGCAGCTGCATGGCATGTCTAGGACTCCTGCAGACTTTCCTGGGGACAGTGAACAGCTGCATGGCATGTCTAGGACTCCTGCAGACTTTCCCAGGAGACAGTGAGCAGCTGCATGGCATGTCTAGGACTCCTGCAGACTTTCCTGGGGACAGTGAACAGCTGCATGGCATGTCTAGGACTCCTGCAGACTTTCCCGGGGACAGTGAGCAGCTGCATGGCATGTCTAGGACTCCTGCAGACTTTCCCAGGAGACAGTGAGCAGCTACATGGCATGTCTAGGACTCCTGCAGACTTTCCCGGGGACAGTGAGCAGCTGCATGGCATGTCTAGGACTCCTGCAGACTTTCCCAGGAGACAGTGAGCAGCTGCACGGCATGTCTAGGATTTCTGCAGACTTTCCCGGGGACAGTGAGCAGCTGTCGGTAGACACCCCTCTGCTGCCCACTTTTCTTACCCTCCTAGGCTGAGGTCAAGGCTAACTATTTGTTTTGGTTATGGTTTCTGTGTTGTGATGAAACACCATGACCAAAAATAAGCTGAAGAGAAAAGGGTTTGCTTGGATTACACATTGTAGTACATCACTGAAGGAATTCAGGACAGGAACCCAAGCAGGGAAGGAACCTGGAGACAGGAGCTGATACAGGGGACTGATGTTTACTGGGTTGCTCCCCATGGTTTGCTCACCCTGCTTTCTTACAGAATCCAGAACCATCAGCTCAGGGTTGGCACAGACAGCAATGGACTAAGCATCAGTCACTAGTTAAAATGCCCTTCTGCCTGCAGCCTAGTCTTGGGAGGCATTTTCTCACTTGAGGCTCCCTCCTCTCAGATGACTAGTTTGTATCATGTTATCATACAGCTAGCCAAGCACAGTGTCAGAACTGTTGGTGTCTCTGGAGTTGCTTCTCTGCCTCCTGGTGGACTGTGTCACAGGACAGACCAAAGAGTGTCCTCATCACTTGTTTCCTAGAAGCCAAGAGCATGGCTGAGAGACATTCAGCAGTTCAGAGCATGGGCTACCTCAGAGGACCAGGCTGGGTTCCCAGGACCCACATGGCAGCTCACAAATGTCTGATGCTCTTTTCTGGCTTCTTCGAGTGCCAGGGGTGTACATGGTAGACAGAATACATACAGGCAAAACAGCCATATACATAAAATAATTTTAATTATTCTTTTTTAAAAGAAGCAAAGAACATATATCTTCTTGGTGCCTACTGGCTTGCTGGCCTTGTGTGTACACAAGTCACTTCTAGATTATGTCAAAGAAGCATGGGTCCATGTGAAGTCAGTGTGGGAGTGAAGATACCAGGGTTGATGATTAAGCTTGTCCTGACAGAGGGTGAAAACCCCATTCCCTGACCTTCACTCCCTAGAAGACTACCTTCCCCCCATGCTCCTCATGAATAATGCGTCTTCAGCTTCCAACTGTTAATCCATCAGAACAGTCCAGTCCCTGGCTGCTTCTAATAATTTAATTCTGACAGCAAAATTTCTGCCACTTAACAACTGTGTTTAGAGAATTCTCTCTTTGCTGGAGAACTCTTCTGATATGTCCCTCCCTTGTTGCTTACGTTCCCCATGTTCCTTCACACAACAGAGGCTCCTTCTCCTGTGGGGACTGTTTGCAACTGGTTGTGTCCCCTCTTCAAAAGAGGCAACTGCACGTCTTTCTGGACTGTCCCACGAGACCCAAGAGTACTGTGAAGGTCAAGGTAGGAAAAGGGACCTGGAACTCATGCTTAATTCCATCTGTCTACTCTGGACTGCAAGAATGAGACTGGAACAGGGTACAAGTGTGTTCTTTGGTTTACCTTGTGGCACACTGTCTTCAGTTCTTGGGAAGGAGAAGTAGGGGTCACCTGTCATAGTTTCTCCATGTAATGTCTTTACAAACAGCTGAGATTCAGTGTGATCCTTAGGAGTACCTTGGGTGAGTGCTTGCGGTAAGCACTTGGTGGGATGTCACTGAGCCCTTCTTCCCTGTTCCTGCAGCTGCTGGAGAGCAGTATTTCTTCACTGCTGGTGTCTGCTGCCTCCAAGGATGGGGTAAGTATGGGGGAGTGGGGAGCAACCTGAGTGTGCCCTGTGCTCTTGAACCTGTGTGAAATTGCCCCTTCAGAAAGACCCCTTTGCTGTATATGTTCATTTATAACAAATCCTATCATAACAACACAAGTCACTTATATTAAAACATCCATCTTACCACTGCTGTGCAGTGTATAATAACAGAGACAGATCCTTCCCGGTTTGGAAATGGGATTCTCTTCAGGTCAACCTTTAAGCAGACACTGAAAATCTTCCTCTGTGGCTTCTGTTATAGACACACAGTCTGGGGACTAGAGCTTCTTCATGATTCCCAGGCAAAAAACAGAATTGCCTAAGACAAGCTTTTTATTTCTCTCTCTCTCTCTCTCTCTCTCTCTCTCTCTCTCTCTCTCTCTCTCTCTCTCTCTGTGTGTGTGTGTGTGTGTGTGTGTCTCAGTGTGTGCATGCCACAGTATGCAAGTAGATGTTAGAGGACAACTTGTAGGAATTGGGTGTCTCCTCCTGCCCTGTGGTTCCCAGGGATTGACTGAACTCAGTTTATCAGGCATGATGACAGGCAGCTTTACCTACTGAGCCATCTGGCTGGACCTGAGACACTTTTTATTTTTTTTTTTACTGCTGGATATTCCAGACTCTGAATAACTGAAAACATTATTGTTATTTCTCAGAACTTTTGGGGTTGCCTGCCTTGAGAATTACTATAGTGAGACTTAGTAAATTGTAGCATGTGCCTCCAAGAAAAGAATTACCACATTGTGAAAGTTGGTCCTCAGAGTGGGACTTCTGTTCTTTGAAATGCCATTTACTGTGTAGAAGCTATTTAAGAACACTGTAGGGAGCACAAGGTCTGAGTGTAGTCCACAGTCTTGCGTGTAACTGAGTGGTAGCACACACCTGCAAGTTGGGAGTGGAGGCAAGATCAGAAGTTCAAGACCATAGCAAGTTTGCTGCTAGCCTGTGTCTACATGAATCTATAAATAATGCACTCTAGGTAACGCATGGAAGTGATAACCCAGAAAAGGGTGTCAGGGACCTGCATCAGTCTTGTTTACTATGCCACGTGGAAAGCCAACCAAAGCAACTGTGGCTACCACAGCTGAATGTGTGCAGTGTTGACCCTCCTATTGGGTTTCTCCTTAGCCCCTCCTGCCTGTCCCAGCCCCATGCCAAAAAGGACAGCTGAGACAGAGCCACCATTAACCCTCTTTTATCTAAACCAGAGCTGTCAGGGTTTGAATGAAATCCGAAGATACGTGAATAAACTTTGAGGATTATTGGTCTGAGCTGTGGTTCTCAGCCCTGACTTTATGAGGTGCTAGTTTGTTCCCCTGGTATAAAGCCCATCAGCTTTACAGCTCTTTGGTGGCCTTGCACTCTGTCCTGGAACTTTCATCGGAGCTGCTGCTGCTACTGTCACAGTTGACCAAATAAAGAGTGATGCTTTGGCACCAAGTTAGAGAACACAGCTGACTTTCTTATTCTGTGAAATCAGCAGTCACCATCACCTAAAATTTTCAAGCCCATTGCATTGCTCACACGTGGTCCTTCTCCATGAGGGACTCCCCACAAAGACATCCCATCAAGGTAGCTTTTATCTCTGCAGAAAGGAGCACCTGGTAGTTGGTGGTTAGCCCAGATAGGAAGCATAAGACTGGGACTTGAGGAACTTACAGTGTGTCCAAGGGGACATTTCTGGGTCTCTGCTGAAATTTGTCTCCTGCCTTTTGGTCTTTGTGGGAGGGAACATGAAACAGTGAATGATGCGGGACCAGGAGAACACCAAAACTGATGTTGAAAGTTTCCAGTGGGATGTGTGTGCTCGGGTGAGTGCTTAAGAAGGTGGACCACGGTTTTCTGAGAACATACCCTGTGGAGAAAATTGGGGAAATCATGAAAAGTCCTGCTTGAGGGTGAATAACAAAATGTACCCAACCTCCCTACCTAAACAAACGTAAGACCACAGCCATCAGTATCTACATTCTGACCCATGGTGCATAGAGACTGATGTCTGCCCTCTGACTCAGTGGCCACCATGAACACTGATATCCCAAAAAGGCAGTGTCTGCTGTCCTCTGTAATGTAGTACTCTTTGGGGATCAAGACACCAGGAGACACCGGCAGAAATCCTGTCTTCTGTCTTTGATTTCCTGCTAGCTGAGGTATATTGTTTCTCCAACACACTTAACTTCTCAACCAGAATGCTCTCTCTGGTAGCTGAAAACCTACTGATAGGACTTGGAAAAGTATGTGGACATGTGTTCTTGTGTATGGAAGTGCAGGAGTGCATGCACTTGTATGTATGAGTCTGCTTGAACGCTTGCTCTGTGTGTGTGTGTGTATGTGTGTGTGTGTGTGTATGCACTTGTATTTGAGGAGTCTACTTGGACACTGGCTATGCATGCATATACATTTACCTGTGTGTGCACACTTGTGCATACCTGTGCACAGATGATAAATGAAATGACACATGGCTCTTGGTGTTACCTTTGTAGGTGCTCTAGTTTCAGAGTCTACATCAGTGGGCCAAAGGGACAAACTAAGCGTGGAGCACATTTTAGCAATCTCTCTCTACTGCCCCCCAGCTCTGTTCTCGTTCAGAGGTAAAGACCAGCAGGACCCTTACCTCTGACCTGGAGTGGAGCCTGACAAAAGATGGCTGTCGAAGGCCCGTGTGCAGACACAGCTCAGGTCACCCACTCTAGATTCTGTGGGCTTTCTGGGTGAGAATGTTGGGCTCTCCATAAAAACCATACTCCATTCTCTGGAACAAATGTACTGTTTCTGGTTAAGATACATGAATGTTAAATTGTATGTTTACTGTGGTCACACTGTAAATGAAAGCAACAAAATTAACTATTGTTGTTTTTGCTGTTTCTCACTAGTGATAGCACAGTGATGTGGGGTTGAAGTCTGTTCCCTCAACTTTCAGAAAAGGCACACATGTATTCTGTCTTTAAAAAAATAGAGAAACAGGGAATTGGCTGTAACTTAGCAGAATAGTAGTTGCCTGGCATGCAGAAAAACTTGGGTTCAATCCCAGCACTGACACAAAATTAAATGAATACATACTTAAAGTCAGATAGACGTGTTTTTATATATGCAGATACATACTCATATGGACAGTACATGAATTTGCTGATGTAAATGTTCTAAATTGTTAATGTTAATTTCCCCCAAATACATATGATTTATAGTTTTAAGTCCACTCATAGGTGATGAAGCTGAACCTAACATTTTACATAGAAATGATTTTTTCTGACCTTTATGAAACCCAAATTCTGTACTTTTGAACTGGGCATGGTGTTTCACAGCTGTAACTCCAGCACTTGAGAGGTAAGGCAGGAGAATCAGGAATTTAAGGTTGTCCTCAGCAAGTTTGAGGTCAGCCTGAGCTACATGGCATGAGACCTTGCCTCAAAAGAAAACAAAAAATTCATACTTTTACCAGAGAAAAACATGGGACTCTCTGGGTGAAGGAAAGTAGTAAGAGACTGAAGGAGTACTGAGCTATCCCTCTTTCATTGTCCTTCTGTCCACTATTGATGACCTGATCCTGTACTGGTGCTCTGTCCACACCTCACTGTTTAGCAGACTGCTAGCTTGCTGTCCATGCAGTGAACCTGTCAAGTCTCTGATCTTCCTCTTGTCCAGCAGTTCTCATTTTCCTATCAGGCTATTGAGTCACACTGAAAACCTTGCTTATTTTGTACTAAGGAATCCAAAACTCTACAAAGTAAAGCTACATTGGGAAATTGAGTCAGCATATGTTATACTTACATCCCAAACTGATCCTCTACAAAACATCCATCACTCTGCACATAGACATATGGTCCATTCCGGGCTTCATCTGGATGGTTCATCTCTGTTCCATCAGCTGGTACCCTCAAGGCAGGGTTGCAGTCACAGAAACCTCCCAGCCAAGGCTCTTGGCCCAACTTCCTCAGTGCTAACTGAGCTTAGGGCATCACTGTGGCCAGGCCAGACTTGGGGTGACACTAAGGACACAGGTAGAATGCCAGGAGCCAAAGTCTATATTGGCCACATTTTCTGTCCATCTCCTTGGCCCTAACACCTTGACCATAGATGGCCTGAATTCATATGTACAAAACTAAATGCTAAAGGGATGTCAGCTGCCTTGTGCAGAGCACAGGTCAGGGTGCCTATCATCTATGCTTGCCATCACCTTCGGTAGTCAGTCTCGTCCTCACTGAAAATGCTCTGAAGTTGGAGCTGTAAAAGCCCAGACAGGGCACAGCCACACCAGGGAGAGAAACCCTGTTGCCCAGTACCTGTGTTTATGTCTGGAGATGAAATTTTCCCAAGGTTAACTTTGTGAGTAAAAACTCAAGTCACATTACCACTGCACATAAAGACATGGTTAGCCCATGAAACCCAAGAAGAAATGGAATCCAATTGAAGAGGGAAGTTTGGGGCAAGCACCAGGAAATCCTTTGACCAGAAGTGTTGCTAGATTGGGGAAGTGTCCCCAAAGGAAGTGGGAGACATGCAAGCCAAAAGCCCAGCCCCCATGGAAGACTAGCACTTCCTCTGCTATTTGTATTGTCTTCCAAATCCTGTCCTAGGCCAATTTATCCTGGCAGCCACAAAACAAAACAGCAAGACTCAACTATCAGAATCAAATCATAAAGTAGTTCATTTGTTTGCTACAATAAAGGGGACTTTTATAGTACACCCTCAACCATCACCCCCCAAAATACTATTTCCCATTGGAAGGAAGGTTGCAGCTTACGGAAGGGCCTTTGCCCTGGCTGTGGCCTTGTTGTTGGGAACAGAATGTGCAGGAGTCCAGGACTGTTTGCTTTAACCAGCATGCTTCTATCACTGCAGAGTTATGAAGTGAAGAATGTCCTTGGGAAGGAGATGGGGCCTTTACTCTGCTTTGTCCAGTCTGCCACTCCACAGCAGACCAGCTGCGTCACACTGGAGGAGATTGAACTTCTAGGTGCAGGAGGAGGTGACCATCCTTCTTCCTGACATCTGGGAACTTTGCACTGAGGGTGCAGGCTTGATTTGGGGAGCTGTGTTAACTCCACAGAGTATTTTTATGGTTTTAAATTTAGTGAGTTTCTTTTTTTCCCCTGGTAAATAGATTAATACGATGGTTTTGTAAGTTAAAAATCAAAATACCTTTATTATATCTTTTTTAATTACCTTCCTATAAGTTTGAGAACATGTTTCTAAAGCTTGAATATCCCTGTGGTCTTCATTTTGCATTACTTAGGCAATATTATGGATTTATTAGGAAATGTTCATTGTTGTAGCTTTAAATAAAGTATTTAAGACTTTACCAATATTTGTACATTTTTTTCTTTGTGGTATTTAATGTTTCCTGAAAGGCAATTCTGTAAAGCTTCAACCAGTATCTCATATTGAGATGTTGCTGCTGTGCTCTAATAAATAAATATCCAACCCAAACTGGAGTTTTAGTATTCTTGGGACTGCCAGAGATGGCACTGTCACCCATACAATGTAGATGCGTTGGGTCTGACAAAAGCTGTATTACACAAGTTTTTGTAGCTCACTCCACCACACACCTGTCAGAGGGCAAAGATCACAGACTCACAGCGACCTACCATCCTGTGCTTTGGGCAGGATTTAAGTTACTAACGAAGCTACGTATTTGGACTCTGAACGTTTTGGGTTTTCCTTCTGCACAGCAACACAGTAACAACAGGCCGTGTTCCTAACACACGGTTTTCTTAGGAGAAAGGCACACAGCCTTTTGGGGAGTAAGCCCTCAAACATTACAATTAATGGCGTTTGGGGCTGTCCTTTTTATATACTACAATATGAATTTGTCCTGGTGCACACTTTGAAATATACATGATGTCCCTAGGATTGAGGAAAATGAAAGCAAAGCTACACAAGCAAAGAGGAATCCTGTTTCTGACTCTCTCGGGCTCTCTTCCACCCTCTTGTCCTTCAGTTGTTCTCTGGCCAGCCCCAACCCAAGTCTGCACACTCTGGGATTACACCTTCCACCTAACATGGAGTAGCTGTGTTTTCCCATGTTCCTTCCCCTAGCAATACAGAGCATGAGGCCAACTCTGCCAGGCTTCCAAAGCAAGCAAACTCATCCATCTCCTTACCCCGTGTGGGCACACCTGGTCCCGTGGTTCCCAGGCGCCTGCTTTCCCTGGTGAGGTCCCAGTACATTGTGTGCGGGAGAGACTGAATATAGGGAGCTGCAGCAATTTAAATGCTTCTTTATTCTTACAAATATTGTAAAAATTAATACAAAAAGCATGCGCAGTCTCTTCCTCGTATCTACAAAAGTCTTCGAAAAGTCTTCTCTTTCTACAAATGTACCTTAGCTGCAATGGTAATAAGACGTAGAAAAGGCTACCATTATAAAAATAATTTAAGGGGGAAAGACTCATGTAGCTTCTCTCGCAGTCCAGTGTCCAAGCTGCAGCTTCCGGTCGCTCGCACGTCCCAAAGAAACTGCAGCAGCTCTGGCGGCGTCCACTCCCGGCCGTCGGGGTCTGAGGTATCGGTCGTTTGGAGTCTCTGAGGCCCACGCCACGCGTTACCGGCAGTCGGTGCCGGTGGGCGGCAGGAAAGGCGGGCTGGGCAGCTGTTTGAAGAACTGCCGGAGGCCGGCCAGGTCCCGCGTGAGCTGCTCCACGCGCTGGTGCAGCTTCTCGTTCTCGGCCGACAGCTCCACCAACTTCTGCTGCATCTCCTGGTTGCGGCGCTTGGCCTTGTCGCGGCTCTTGCGCACAGCGATGTTGTTGCGCTCACGCCGCTGCCGGTACTCGGGGCTGCCGCGGTCCGGACCCCTCTTGCCAGTGCCCTTCTCTCGGACGGGGACGGCCGCGAGGCTCGGCCCTGGGCTGCCTCGAGGGGGCTCGGGCGACGTGGGCGGTGTGGGTTGCGCCGCGGCCGCCAGGCTCACCACCGTCTGCGCGCACACGGCCACTTGCGCGGGCAGCAGGGAGCCCGGCGCGTCGCTGTCGCCCCAATCGGGCTCACGCTTGAGCGGGCCCCGGGTGGCTGAACCCGCGCCTGGCGGTCGAGTGGAGCCGCCGGGCAGCATCTCCAGGCCGCCCGCGCCGGCCGCTTTGTGGTTGCTGTTGAAGAGGTCGGCGAAGAGCTCGTCGTGGCACAGCTCCAGGGTGGGCACGGCGGCCATGGAGTCAATGTAGGCGCTGAAGTCGATGGCGCTCTCGTCGTCGTACATGGCAGGGGCCGTGGAGCCCGGCTCCCCTAGATCCCCCGGTTCGGGCCCGCGGCCCGGCTTGCCCACTCTGCCTGGCTCGTAGAAGGCCGTGGGCTCGGTGGGCCAGGGTGCGCCGCGCGCGGGGCTGTCCAGGCTGAAAAGTGCGGCGCTCATGGCGGCGTCGGCCCGGCCAGGCGTCCAAGTTGGGCTGTCACCTCGCCGGACCGGGCCGCCGCCTTTTCTAGCCCCAGCTGACAAGCACGCCCCGCCCCGGCACCGCGGGTCGGGGACCCGAGCGGGGAGGGACCGCCCGCGCTGCTGGGAACGACCCGCCCTCTGCCCGCACTCCCGGCCCTCCCTCCTTCCTGTTTGTGCGGTTTGGAGCGTAATTAGTCCTCTGAGCCTGGAGCGAAATGAAAATCAGGATTGGACCAGACGCGCGCGAAGCCTGCCGCCTTCAGTCACCTCAGACGGCGGCCCGAGTGCACAGGTTGTATCCTGGGCGCCGCCGCTGAGGAGCCAGGAGTGAACTGTAGGTCCTGGTCCGCGGCTCAGCCTCAGACGGTCCCTAGCCAGCGCAGCCATCGGGCGTCTCCGGAAATTCGAACCCGCTCCAGCTACTCTTCTCAGGGATGCCGAGGCTCAGCCACACTGCCTGGTGGATGGACGGATTGACGGGACCTCCCCCCTGACCTCAGATCCCCAGGAGAGTGGAGGCCACCCTAAACATGGTGCGTTTTACCGCACCTGACAGCGATCTTGGGTGCGCCACTTTTCTTCCAGGTTATTGAGGCTCTGCCACCTGGTGGTAGCATAGTGTCTCGCTGTTTCTTTTCCTTGCTAATTGTTCCCAAAAGGGGTGCTATTCTAAAGTAACTGTGGCTTTGCTGAGAGAAAGCTAAGATAAGCATCAATAACTATAAAGAGGTGTGAAGTTTCCAACTCTTAAAAATGCATAAAAAGATGTGCTGCTAAATTCATGAAAAAAAAAAAATGAAGTGAAATTACAACCCCAGGTACTCAGAGCTGAGGCTGGAGGGATAGTTGAGCCTGAGAGTTCAAGTCTCTCAAACAAACACAAGTCAAGAAAAACATTGGTCCAAATTCAGGTGTATCCTTCGTGTCTCTCTCCTTAACTTATCTTTCTCCTCCACCGGGTATTTTGGCCAACATCAGCTGGTCCACACACGGCAGCCCAGCTCCTACCATCAATTCCATAGAAAAATTAATGTTGGGCTGTGGAATATTTAATGGGTTTTCTGGAGAAGGGTAAACACATTTGTGGAGTTTTAAAACGGTACATGATGTTGATGTTATAACTAATGTTCATATAACTCATGCACATACAGAGGAAAGAACTAGAATAAACTGGTTCTTAGATGCCGTAGAAGCACGACTAAGGCCCTCTTTGTCCCTCATAGAGGCTTCATTCCAAGGCCATTTGCGATGAGACAACCTGCTGTTTCTGGTACTTGAGTCCACTCTTAAATTTATGAAAACTAAGTTGTGTTTACAAGACACTGGGGCCAATTAATTCCTTAGGTTAGGAAGCCATTGGCACCTTTGAGCTGCACCTGAAAGCTATGTGATGTCTACATTCAGAAACCTGCTGGCCAGTGCATGTGTAGTATTCACATCTGGACCTGAACCCCCCTCCCCACATTTCCTAGAAGAAAGGAGACATGACAACAACAAAGCATATAATGTATTGTGACATTTGAGAGCTATTAAAGACCCCTTGAAATATCAATCTAGATTTAGTCCTTGTGACAGCTGCTTGTAATCCTTTCATGACTGTCCACTGCACTCAAGGGCCTTTCCCAGCACCACAGGTGATGTTCTCAGCTTGAATACAAACGCTTCCGGTGCTTTGTCACTGTGAGAAATCCATCATCCTGGTACTCACTTAAAGTGTTCTCAGCATATCTGTCAAAAAAGCCCTCTGGCTAGAATCTTTAATTCCGCCTCTTTGTCCTCCACAACGTTCTCACATGGAACATAGTGGAGAGGTTCTGAAAACCTTGCTGTGTAACGTTCAGGAGACTAGCAATGTTGAGAGTGTTCTAGAGTTGTGGAGCATTGTCAGAGTTGGAAGGTCAGTCTGGATCCTGTCTGTGCATTTCACTCCACACAAGAACAGTTCTCTGGATGGAACACTCAAATGTGAAACATTTCTGAATAGTCCTAGGTAAAATTAATATGAAATCAAGTTTGAAGAGAAGTAAAACTTAGTTGACTTCAGTGCCCTCACAATTTGTTATTTCCAATATCAGATTATATTCTTTAAAAAACATTTCCATTTATTGTTATGTGTGTTTCAGGGGGAAAGAAAGGAAGGGAGATGGCACATTGTAGCATGCACTTGGAAGTCAGAGGACAATTTTCAAGGGTCAGTTCTCTCCTTCCACCGTGTAGATTCCAGAAATGGAACTCAAGCTGCCAGGCTTGGGGACAAGTGCCTTTACCCAATGGAGCCATCTTGCCAGCCCCAAACTAGATGCTTTTTTATAAACCTTTTGCCCTAGAGCTAATTTTAATTATATTTTCCTATGTGTTCTGTCACAATTGTCAGATATATATATAAAATTTCTAAAAATGAATTCTTTTCAAGCTAAATCATTACTTTTGGAAGATGGAAGACAGAGTCCACACGAATAAACTAGGATTGTTTATCCCTCATGCTGATTAAAGCCTGGCCTTTGTTTAAACCTATCACAAGGACAGATGTGGTGGTACACACCTGTAATCCCAGCATTCAGGAAGCAAAGGCACAAGGATTGTGGGTTTGAAGCCAGCTTGAGCTGCATATTAAGGCCATAAATCAAGAAAAGAAAGTTGTGATATGTGATGGTTTGAGTAAGAATGGCTCACAGATTTGAATACTTGGTCCAAAGTTGGTGGAACTATTTGGGAAGGATTAGGAAGTGTGGCCTTGTTGGAGGAGGTGTGTCACTGGTGGCTGACTTTGAGGTTTCAAAAGACTCTGGCCATTTCCAGAATTCTCTCTCTGTCTCCTCCTTGCAGTTTAAGGTGCAGGCTCTTAGCTGTTCCTGATGCCAAGCCTTTGCTCAGTCATCATGGACTTGAGCCCTCTGAAACTATACACCCAATTAAACTATTTCTTTTATAAGTCACCCTGGTCAGACTCCTGCCAGGGAAGGAGGTAGGCTGACTGCAAACCTTCACCTCTCCTTCTGATCCTCCAGATCCAATCCCCAGTCTCATCCACAGCTCTGTTGCAGAATACCTGCTACAGTCTCCCCTCCCTCTCTGACCCCATCACCAATAGATCAGGAAGATCTCCAACCTTCCTTCCCCCAACTCATCCCAGTATCCCAGCTTCCAACACCAGCAGGTATTTCCTGGAAACAGGCAAGCTAACTCAAGAAGACCTTCACCACTCCCTCCTCTCCTCCAAACCCAATCTCCCAGTCTCATCCCTAGCTCTGCAGCAGAACACCTGCTGCAGCCTTCTTCCCCACACAGACCTTTCTCCTAATCTCCCTTCCCCCACTCATTGCTTTATCCCAGCCCCCAACTTTGGCAGGCACTCCCCACTAACCCACGGGCCACTTCTGCCAGGGAAGCAGGTAGGCTGTCTGTAGATCTTCACCTCTCCTTCTGTTCCTGCAGATCCAATCCCCCAGTCTCATCCCTGGCTCTATAGCAGACCTTCTGGGGTGACCCCTTTTCCCTCTTTGCCCCCATCCCAAGGAGACTAAATAAACAAGTCCTGGTAGAATACTGCTTTTCTCCCTCCTGTGAACCCCCTCAGGTCCCTAGTCTATCCCCATTCCTAAGTGTCAGCTTCCAATACCCAAAAACACATGCTGTGGAACAATCTTTATACACTGTAAATATCTATTGCTCTCATTGTTATTAAAAAGCTGATTAGTCGATAGCTGGGCAGGAAGAGATTGGGTGAGACAGGAAGAATGCTAGAAAGAGGAAAGAGGAAATATGAAATCAGAGGAGTCACGGGCCATACACAGAAGAAGTCAGACACACAAAATAGGTTAGAGGTAGAAGCCACGAGCCTCAGGGCAGCACACAGATTAATAGGAATGGGTTAAAGTTGTAAGGTCTAGTTAGTAACAAGCCTGAGCTATTGGCTGAGCATTTATAATTAATATTAGGCCTCTTTGTGTTTCCTTGGGAGCTGCTGGTGGGGCAGAAACTTCTTTCTATAAACACATTATACCTGGAACCACCAGTGGCCACACCTATCTGCTCCACAGAAAATCTACCAAGCAGCACACTCTCCTAAAAAATTGAGGAAACAAACCAAGGAAAAAACACTCATCCAACAAAGACAAAATCAGATATCATCACCTAGAATTATAAGCTTCCCAATACCAGATGCCTAGATGCCAGCATAAAAATAAAATTGATAACAGCTAGGACAATATGTTTCCACTAGAGCACAGCAACCCTATCACAGTAGGCCCTGAATATTCCAACATAGCTGAAGCACAGGAAAAGACCTTAAAATAGCCTGTATGAATATGATAAAGGCCCTTAAAGAGGAAAAGAAATCCAGGAATAGGGATGGGGGTGGAAAGAACAGGAGCTCACTTGGCACCATCAGGACCAAGCAGGAGGAGAAGGTCTACATGCCTGCCTGGGGCACCATTATGGTGAGCAAATATATGGTAGGGTATGCATAGAGAAAGAGAGAGAGAGAGAGAGAGAGAGAGAGAGAGAGAGAGAGAGAGAGAGAGAGAGAGAATGGCTCATGTCCTGTGGAGAGAGGCAGATCTGAATAGATGAAGATGGTGAGGAGGGGGCTGAGGTGGGTGGCCTGCTTGCCACCTGGGGCCATGGTGACATCCTGGCCTGGGCTACTGCCAAGGGCCATGTCTGAGTCCATTACCCTGTTGTAGCCATAGTCTGTGTTGATGTCCATGGCTTCTGCTACCACAAAAAATCCCAAGAGGATAGGGCTGCACAGAATTGGCCCCACTCCTCACAGCGCTAGAGAGAACTGGCCCTGACTCTCGCAGGCTGCAGCACTTGGGAGAGTGGGCCCTGCATCTCACCTGGACAGCAGAGTGGAGCTGGCTTTATTCATGGGTGGTGGGGCATTGAGCCAGTCCAGAGAACATGATCATGGGAGAGCTTGCCCCACTGCTTGTCTGTCATATGGTGGCATGGTCCTGGAAAGATGCCTACCCTTGCCCCTTGCCACCTGATGCAGACAAAAAAGTTGGTCCCAGGGTCAAGACCACAAGAGAGCTAGCCCAGCCCCTCACCAGCTGCAGCACTCAGGAGAGCTGGTCCTGCACTTTGCCTTGGCAGCACAGTAGAGCTGACCCTGTTGGCAAGGGCAAGAAACCAGCCCTGAGGGAAGGAGAGTGGGAGAGCTTGCCCTATCCCCCTCAAATGCCATGTGGTGGTATGGGTGAGGGAAAGATGCCCTCCCCATCTTGCCCTTCACCACCTGTGGAATGCTGGAGAACTGGCCTCATGGGACATGAGAGTGGGAGGACTGGCCCTGCCCCTCACCAGCTGCAGCACTCAGGAAAATGGCCCATGCACCTCCCATGGGCACCACAGTAGAGCTGGCCCTGCTGGTGTAGGTGTAACTGAGCTCCAAGAGTATGAAAAGAGGAGAACCAGCCCTGACCCTTGCTGTAGACACCAGCTCAACTTCTCCATGTTCAGTGAGTTGTGTGGGTGTTGTCTTCAGCAACCTACTACTCTGGGATTTTGGTGTACACTGAAGACCAGTTGAGACATCAAGCCTTGTGGACTGAACAATTACTGGTTTCCTGGATTCTTGTCAACTTGACATTGGAAAACTAACTGAAAGTTCAGAAAGTATGACCTTTGCGATCTTCATTTCTTAGTTCATTAAAATGTTCAATTTTGCCTTTGAAAAAAAGAAGTGTAGATAATAGAGCTGCAAGTTTTAACTTTTATGCTTTGATCATAGATGACAGTTTTAATGCTATAAATATGGCTCAGTTTGCCATTTCCATTGAAGATATTGATGATGGATCTTGTATTAGTCAGGGTTCTCTAGAGTACAGAATTCATAGAATGAATTCCCCAATACACACACACACACACACACACACACACACACACACACACACACACACACACACACAATTTATTAGACAGACTTATGAGCTGTTGTCCAGCTAATCAATAGCTGCCTATGTACAGAAGGTCCAAGAATACAAGAATCCAGTAGTTGTTCAGTTCACAAGGCTGAATGTCTCAGCTGTCTTCAGTATATGCCAGAATCCCAAAGTAGTAGTAGACACTACTGCTGGTGAAGGAATGGACTTGCCAATGAGGGTGGGAGGAAGTAGTCACAAAGAAAGCTTCTCTCTTCTATGTTCTTATATAGGCACCCAGCAGAGGGTGTGGCCCAGACTCCAGGTGGGTCTTCCCATCTCAAAGATCTGGATTAGAAATGGATCATCCAGTTTCAAATGACCCAATTAAGAAAAAAAATCCCTCACAGGTGTGCCCAGCCATTTTTTGGATTTTCATTAATTCCAGATGTAGTCAAGTTGACAACCAAGAATAGCCATCACAAGTCCACCCCTTGTCAACTTGACACACTATCATGTCTCTTTATGTAGTGCTTAATTTCTAAATCAAATAATAATCAGGTTATAAGTATACCTAACATGAGATATAATTAGTTCACATATAATCACAAAAGCATTATAAAATTTAGAATAGATGGCTGCCTGTGTATAGAATGTCTAAGAATACAGTAATTTTTCAATCCATGAGGCAGGATGTCTCAGCTGGTTTTCAGTATATGCTGAAATCCCAAAAAAGTAGACTTTGGTGAAGGAACAGACTTGCTAATGAGGGCAAGAGGAAGCAGGCAAAAGGAGAGTTTCTTTCTTCCAATAGAGGGAGTGGCCCAGATTAGAGGTGGGTCTTCCTACATCAAAAGATCTGGATTAGTGATGTTTTTCCCACCTCAAAGATCCAGTTTAGAAGTGGATCTTCCCACTTCAAATGATGTAATTAAAAAAAATTTTCTTACAGGTATGCCTAGCCATTTTTTAGTTTTAGTTAGTTTCAGATGTAGTCAAGTTGACAACCAAGAATAGCCACCATGGATATGTTACTGAAGTGCCATTCAGTGCCTTTTAAAGTATCATTAAAAGACACTGTAAGAAAATATGCTAAAGCCATGTGGACATTTCTATGCATATGGCTGGTGCAGTTACCAATGATGCCCAAGCAATAACAGCTAAAACAGAGAGACTTGTAAAATTAGTAGAAGACAATTCAGTTGCTGGCAAAACTCATCTTTAAAGCAGTATCATTGCACAGTATATCCATGTTAGCACGGAGATAA